GTTTAAAAACTAAACAGCTTCCTATTTCCCTCCTATCAACACATGGATTTTATGAGACAGAATCAATCACAACAGAAGTCTAATAAAAGCCAAGTTTGCCAAAAGTGGCAGCAGAGAAGCTCTAAACCAGACGCTCCCTGCAGGAAAGTCGTCTGTGCATGAAGGAAATGCAGATTTAAACCTGGACGCTGCACATGTTTTCTGTTCACTCACGCTTTGTCTTTGTCTTCCTCCCCCACAGTGATGCTGCTGGACACAACCGAGTCGACCTCGGAGCTGGGCTGGACCACCTATCCCGACACCGGGGTGAGTCCACATGTTCTCCAGCTGCTGCAGCTTTAAAGCGCTGCGTCAATGTGGCGCGCACATGTTCCACACGGTTTCAGGTTCGGGGTTATAATCACGTTGTCTGTCAGGCTTTGTGGTTTCACGCTAATGAGGCATTAAACACTTTGGTATGTAACAGCGAGCGCCTTCACTGAAAGCTCCTGCTGGGTGGTGGAGTTTAACTCACTGAAGGAGGTTTAAGCTCCGGCTAATGTGTCTCTTTGCTTTTCTTTCATTGTGGCCCCAATGAAAAGCACAGTTTCAGTGTATTAAAGATGCATTGAAGTTTTTAGTGTAGGTTTGGCTGTGATTATGTGTTGTTTGGTTTAGAACATTAGGTTCCAGATGTTTTCACAAAGGCTCTTCAATGAATCGGTTTCTGCTGGTACAATGTGCTCTGTACACTGTAAACAAACAAAAAAAAGTTTTTCAGCTGAAGTAAAATTAATCTCTTTATGTTTCTGCTTTAGTGATGACAGTTTGTTTTTTTGGATTCCATCAACTTGAAATCACTTTGTGTCTATTTAAACTGCTATTCTTGTTTTGGTGAAAGTGCGAATATTAGGTTTATACTTTTTACTGTTTTCTGAGTATGTTACGTTTAAAACAACTCATTTGGGAAAATTGGAAATTTCGAGTTGACTTTTCTTAAAGTGAAGTTGCAGAAATGCTCATTTAAACGATTGAAGTAGCTCTCACTTAAACTAGAGGCATTAAAATGACTTACTAACGCTGGATAATCCAATTATATGTTACATGTTTAAGCACCTCGTTGATCCAACAAAACTGTTTTTCCTCCTTGATACGTTGGAAAACGCTCCTCTGGTTTTGAACTCATCTGCATTGTCGACATCAGCTTGTTCTTATTGAGAGTTCTTAGTCTGAATACTTAATGGTGAGAAATGGTGTTCCACAAGGTTCCATACTGGGTCCCCTTCTTTTCCCTGTTTTTCGGTACAGTCACATTGTTATGTTCGCCTTTATGCTCACAACGCTGGTTTTTACGCCTCCATTTCTGATATATTCGAAATTCTTCACGGCCGGATTTCAACCTGGTTCAAAACTGGTTTCATGATAACAAACCAATAAGTGAAAGTCCTGTAGCGTGCTCTTGGCGGAACACATTATAGAACGTTCTTCTATAGAACATTTTCACAATGATACCAAAGGAAGAGTGTTCACAATTCAACAGAACGTTCTCACACAACATTTAAGAAATGTTTTCCATTTAGTTATCGAGGCCTCAGATGATGGAACATTTTTTACACAGAACATTTCAGTGACGTGACGTATTAAAGGTAGAAGTTTTTGCGTTCTTGCTGAGGGAACATCTTATAGAATGCTCTCGAAAGAACGTTTTCCCAGATGTTATCGAGGCCTCGTGATGATTTTAATAAAACGTTCCTGTAATGTGATGTATTAGCAAAGATGAAACATTCTGAATGCAATTTTTGAAGAAAGTTTCGGGGATGTTGTTGAGGAAACCGTTTATTGAACGTTCTACCATTACCTTGAAGTTACATTACAACAAAAGAGGAATGTTCTTGAGAGAACATTTTCCCCGATGTTATCGAGGCCTTGTGATGATTTTATTAAAACGTTCCTGTAATGTGATGTATTGGCAAAGGTGGAACAATATGGCTGCAATGTTCTGAGGATGTTGTTGAGGGAACAAAATATAGAATCCATGAAATGTTTTACAGTTTTAGAACAAAAGAAGAATGTTATCAGTGTAACTTTCAGTTTTGAAAACATTTTTAGAACGTTTTTAGTTGTCCTACATTTAAGAGGAACATTCTGGGAACAAAAAGAACATTTTCCACTGAAATAATTGGTAGAACTTTGCAGATTTTTCAACAAAAAAAGACAAGTTTTTCTCTTCTGTGACTCATTTAATTGGTAGAAATTTAAATCCTGGAGGCAGTTTCACATTTCCATGTGTTCTTTTTTACTTTCCTTCCAAATGTTCCGATCCTCAGATCCGCTCATGCATCTGTAACGTCCCTTTTTTCTTTGTCTCTAGAACTTTCAAACAAGCTGAATTCATTTTAACTCAAAGTTCCTCCTGACTGGAATTATCCTCCCGTTTCTTAGATCTGTCACCTCGTCTCGTCTTTATTTTCACATCTTAGAGCCGCCTGGTCATGATTCAAGTACTTTCAAGTTTTGGTTCATTAGTGCTTCAAATATCAAACTGCTTCAGATGTATTTAGCGTTTTCTGACTCTTTGTGACCGACTTCTCCTTCAGTCGCTGACGTTTGAGGGTGAGTCTGTGATATGTGGAGAGTTTATTATTTAATGTTTTCCTTTATTAGAGACACACGTGTTCATACCTGTTGGATAAACAGAGGCGGCAGCATTAACGTATTTCTCACCATGTTTGCACTTTTACACATGGAAATCTGGCGATATTGATTTTGCTCGAGTTGACTTTTCTTCAATTAAAGGTGTAGAAATGCTCATTTAAGAGGCATCAAATGATTTAAGTTGCTCTCACTTGAACCAGTGGCATTAATATGACTAATTAACTTTGGATAATTCATCTAAATGTGACATATTTAAGCTATTCGTTGGTCCAGCAAAACTGTTTTTCAGTGTCAGTATGATGATTTGATATAATCAACCTCAACCTTCTCAAAAGCTTGAAAACACTCTTCTGGTTTTAAACTCATCTGCATTATCGACAGCAGTGTGTCCTCAATCAGGGTTCTCAGTCTGAACACTTAATGGTGGAAAACGGTGTTCCACAAGGTTCCACCCTGGCTCCCCTTCTTTTCTCTGTTTTTATGATACTGCCACATTGTTGCGTTCACCTTTATGCTGACGACACTGTTTTTTACTCCACCAGTTCTGATATATTCAAAATTCTTCACGGCCGGATTTCAACCTGGTTCAAAACTGGTTTCATAACAACAAACTTGTGCTGAATAAGTAAAAGTTCTGCAGCGTGTCCTTAATCAGGGTTTTCAGTCTGAACACGTAATGGTGGGAAGCGGTGTTCCACAAGGTTCCACCCTGGGTCCCCTTCTTTTCTCTGTTTTTCGGTACAGTCACATTGTTATGTTCGCCTTTATGCTCACAACGCTTTTTTTTACTCCTCCAATTTTGATATATTCAAAATTCTTCACGGCCGGTTTTCAACCTGGTTCAAAATTGGTTTCATGATAACAAACTTGTGCCGAATAAGTAGAACATTCTTCTATAAAACATCACCACAATGTTCCATGATAGCAAAGGGAAGAGTGTTCTCAAACCAACCTGTAAAGAAATGTTTTCTAAATGTCGTCGAGGCGTCGGATGACAAGATGTTTCCGTTCTGTGATACGTTACCAAAGGTGGAACATTCTTCCTGCAATCTTCTGAGAAGGTTTTGATGTGTTTGAGGGAACACGTTACAGAACATTCTGGCACATTTTCTTTCCCCAGATTTACACTGATGACAGTAATTGAAAAACGCAGCAGGCTTCTCACCGCTGCAGAAGTTATGCATTCGAGGAATAAAATGCTTAAAGCTGATGCCTGGTGACGCTGTGAGGTCAGAGTTGCTGCCGTCTGGCCTCACCTTCCCTTCAAGGCGACCTGCAGGGCTTAAATGCGTTTTTTTTTTTTTTCGTTCCTCCACCGTGTGTCCTCATCCATGATGGAATTGCAGAGATTGAACCATAGATCTTTTCGGAGCTGCTTTGTATTTAAGGTTAGCCTTGAGCCGTGTAAATATGTGTGTGCGGTGGCGGCGGGGGTCTAGCACTGGTTATGTGCGTGACTGTGCGAGGGTCAAATCCCGGGTCAGTTAGATTCATTCATCTGTGACTGATTACTGCTCACTTCTAATATGGCTCATAATTACACACATACATGGAGGCCATTGTTGAGATAATCAGTCAAACTGCATGTGAGAAACCGTGGATTCCTGCGTCAATTAGGCCGCATTCAGGAACGCGTTTGGACGTCTGATTTATACGGAAGAGAGGCTGCAGCACAATGACCCATTCACGGCCTTTTGTTGTGCAAACAGACTCACGTTTCAACACTGCTTTGTCTTTATTACAGTCAGAAAGAACAAAGGCAAACACGCAGGCTACGATTCAATATCCAGACTCACATTTTATATATTTACCGAGTCCCAGTGTGTCAAATGTGGGACACCAGAAACCACGACTGGATTTTGCATTTTGCAGCTTTTCTGCACATTTTGACCCACAATCCTTACAAATGTGGTGTCGCACGTTATTACAGCCGTTTTTATTGTAGACATGCATGAACCAGTGAGAGAATTAAGCCGCAATATCTCCAATTATTTTCCGAGTTCTTCTCAACACAGGAGCATTTCTAAATATAATATATATTTTTAGGAAACGGAAGTTATTTTTTATTCGGATAATTATTTCACACAAACCAAAAACTACCAGGATCAGTGTTAAGAAGCGCTTTAACTTCGTAAAGCTTGACGTTTGTGTATTTAAGCTAAAACTGATCTGGTTTTCTTCCAGCATACACACACATTAGAACAGCTTCATGTGTTCATTTTAACTTTCACTCACAAGTTTGAAGCATTAGTGTGTGGAATAAGTCGACCATTTAAGATACTATTATTTTTAACATTCGTCTGAAGTGACTGTTCCTGGACAGTTTATGGTCTTATTTTATCACTAAATCACAGATCTGATTTAACTCCTAAATGTCTGACATATAGAGGTCCATTTCTATTCAGGTTCAGGGCTACTACGTTATGGAACAGCTTTTCTATCATCAGTAAAAATGCATTTAAAAAACATTTAAAAGATCATTTGAATGCTATTTTACGTTTTATTTTTCATCTTTTGTTTCCTCTTTTTTATGTTTATTTCTTGTGAAGTATTTATTTTTTTCCTGTATGTAAATTTTGTTCTGTTTATAATTTGTTGACATTTAATCTTACATTAGGTGGAGGCTTTAAATAGGCCCACCCAGGCTTTCTGCCTCTTCCTGCACAATGCTT